GAATTGGATTTCCAATCAATGCTCATGGAAGTAGCAGATGGCATGTTGAGCTCGGCAAATCTCGCACATGACCTCTTTAAAATGCTAAAGAGTGAATACATCACTTTGAAGACTAAGCTGTGCCTGACACAAGCCATGGGATTTTCAGTCTTATCATATGCATGTGAAAGTTGGACTATGATTTAAGAAGACTGGTGAACTGATGTATTTGAGTTATGATATTTGCAAAGAACTTGAAAGCACTGTGCACTACCAAAAACCAAACATGTCTATCTTAGAGGAAGGATATCCAGAATGCTCTTTGAAGCGAGGATAGAGAGTGCAGGACTGAGCAGTGTGTTCCGTTGTAGTGACAAGTTCAAAACTGAGCTAAGAGCTGACTGGATCACACCTAACACCACTACCAATATAACCATAAATACTTATATGTTATAATCTCCAGTTGGAATAGCACTTACTGTGCACACTTACTAATAACCTGCCACTATGTTAAACATTTTCTCATTGTAGCTTAAATGCATGAATACTTTATGAAGTGAGTTCTATTACAATAACTGTATAACTGTTGAAGATGCTAAGGTATAAAAGGTCAAGTTTCTGATACAAGTTAATAAACTTTTGAGCTGGATTTGAATCTAAACAGTGCTGGGCTCCAGAGCAGGCAAATTTGTCCTATTCAGAACTTCAGTCAATTCATGACCTCTTTCTAAAACCCTTTTATTGTACTGTAAACTTTTTCTTTACTTTAAAATAACCCTTAAATAAATAAATACAAGAAGAGACAAGTAAAAAAGTAAAACACTGATGAGATACTAAAGAGAAGATATTTTAGAGGTCAGATACAAAATTAAACATACTTGTAAATACAAACATAATGTGAAATCTAATAAGCAGCACTGAGGTGCTATGTAGACTAATTCTTAGCCACTTGTATTTTTAAGAAATAGTAATGATATGTAATTCTGATATCCTGTTTGTAATAGCTTGATGCACATATAGCGTTAATGTGATACACTGATACATAAGATTTTTATTAAGAACTACACATGCATATGCAGATAATAGATATTTTTTGATATCTATAATCTACTCACTTTTCTTGTTTTCATTGATTAATGTTTAAATTTTATTGTTAAAATTGCAATTTGAGATATATCTACAGTTAAATATTTATCCTAAAGGGCACAGAGGTAATATTCCCTAGTTTAAACTTTTAAAGAAATTTTAGCACTATTATTGAACACTTCATATATAAATGTAATGTCTTCATTATATAATTTTAAGCTCATATAGAGCAAAGAAGTATTTGAGTTTTCTCTGTTTTTAGAAACTCCATGGATACTCCTTTCTTCCACATATATTGAAGGCTAGACTTAATGAATCTCAGCTATGAGTTACAGTCTTCTAATGATTGTGGGATACGGTTTATTAGCTTTATCTCTTTCTCTTGTCTCCTCTTTAGTTTATTAAATGATGAGTGATTGTTGTGCCTTTGTATAAATATTCAGACTCTCTGTGTTAGGCTGGGTTCTCCAACGAAGCAATGCCAGCGATACATATATGGAAGTTTATATCACGACAGTGATTAACACAGTTGTACCAAAGTCATATCTGTTCAGTCTGTAGGTCAGTTGTTAAACTAGAGACTTTTTCTGACTGCCATGGCTGATGAACCCAGTAAGCAGGAAGCCAAATCTAGAAGCATTAAGACCATAGTCAACAGATCAGGCTCATAGCTATAGAGTCTAATGAACCCAGGGTCACAGGCGTGTGACAGACTTCTGATAGTTCCTAGGGTCAGCAGACAATATGGCAGGCCATTGACTAGTCCAAATAGCCAGAGGTCCATTAGAAAGATGCAAGATCCAGACCGGTATGAAATAAGCTAAGTTTTCCCAGTGTCAACTTATATGGGCCATAAGTCCAAGAAATTCCCTTCCAATTGCATTAGGGGTGTGAGCTGATTAAGGGAGTTGTACTCCACTGGTTGTTTGTCAGTTTGTTGTACTGTAGTGGCTTATGTGTCTCTGATGCTAAAAGCTATTGCACTGGTATTTCAAGTGCCAGCAGGGTCACCCAAAGTGAACAAGTCTCAGGAGTCTCCAGACTAAGAATAGACTACAGAGAAGTAATCAGGTGCCCACTTTGGAGGCAGGAGTCCCTGAAAACCCTGTGCATAGCTTCAAAACATTGTAAGATACTGAAAGCCTACTGAATTAGAAGTAGAACATTGCCAGAGATAGTGCCAGATGATGGGCCCCTCGAGTTAGAAGGCACTTGAAATGTGACTGAGGAGGAGCTGTGTTTTCAATGTAGAAGCAATCATGGTGACATGAATGTAGTAATGCCTTTGAGAGTGAAGCCTTCTGGATCTTCATTTTCTGATGGGGCACAACTCAACCTGAGAAGAAACAGCTAAAAATTTTTAATAGTTGGAATTTGGTATGTACTAACTATAAATCTAGGAAAATTGGAATTCATCAAAAATAAGATGGAGCGCATAAAGATCAATATCCTAGGCATTAGCTGAAATGGACTGATATTGGACATTTTGAATCATAAAACCATATGGTATTCTATGTCAGGAATAACAATTAAGAGGAATGGCTTTGCATTCATTGCCAAAAGGAACATTGCAAAACCAATCTTGAAATATAATGCCGTCTGTTACAGGATTATATCTATCCGCCTTCAATGAAATCCAATGATACAATTATAGCTCAAATTTCTATACAAACCATGAATGCTAGTGATGAAGAAATTGAAGAATTCTACTTAATTATTCAGTTTGAAACTAATCAAACTTGCAATCAATATGCATTAATAATTTTTAGAGACTTGAATGCAAAAGTTGGAAACAAAGAGAAGGAAAATATGTGGAAAGTATGGTCTTAGTGATAGAAATGAAGCTAGAGACTGCATGATAGAATTTTGGCAGACCAGTGACATGTTCATAGCAAATGCATTTTGTCAACACTGTACAGGTGACTATACAGATGGACTTCTCCAGATGGAATACACAGAAATCAAGTTGACCACCTCTGTTGGGAGGGAACATGGAGAAGCTATACCCTAGCCAGGGGCTGACTGGAGCAGACCTCAATTGCTCATATATAATTTAGGTCACAGCTGCCAAAAATCAAAACAAGTCCACAAGAGCCAAAATAGGACCTTGATTCGCCTCAAAAACCGATTTGCCTCATTGAACACTAATGACTGAAGATCTGATGAACTGTGAGAGCACATAAAGAATATCGTTCATGAAGAAAACAAGGTCATTAAAAAGGCAGAAAAGAAAAGATCAAAGTGGGTATCAGAAGAGATTCTGAAACGTGCTCTTAATCGTAGAGTAGCTAAGGCACGTGGAAGAAATGATGAAGTCAAAAACAGAAAATTTTATATGGCAGTTCGAAACCAGTAAAATATTACAGTGACACGTGCAAAGGCCTAGAATTAGAAAACCAGAAAGAAAGAACGCTCTCAGCATATCTTAAACTGAAAGAACTCAAGAAAAAATTTTAAGCCTGGAGTTTCAATAGTGAAATATTCCATGGACAAAATATTGAATGATGCAGGAAGCATCAAAAGAAGATGGAAAGAATACACAGTCACTCTACCAGAAAGAACTAGTCAGAATTCAGCTATTTCCAGAGTAAGCATATGAGCAAGCTCATAAAAGCAAGAAACAATGCTACTCAAAGAAATCGTTTAAGCTGTATTGAAAGCATTAATCAAAAACAAGGCTCCAAGAATTGATGGAATACCCACTGAAATGTGTCAATAAACTGATGAAGCACTGGAAGCACTCACTCAGCTCTGCCAGGAAATTTCAAAGGCAACTACTTGACCAACTGCTTGTAAGATCCATATTTATATCCAGTCAAAAAAGATAACCCAACGGAACACACAAATCATAGAACACTATCATTGATATAGCATGCAAGTAAAATTTTTTTTAAAGATCATCCAACAATATCTGCAGCAGCACATTGACAGGGAACTGCCAGAAGTTCAGACCAAATTCAGAACAAGGAACAAGGATACCATTGCTGTCATCAGATGGATCTTGGCTGAAAGCAGAGAATACCAGAAAGATGTTTACTGATGTTTTATTGACTATACCAAGGCATTTGACTGTGTAGATCCTAATAAACTATAGATGTTCTTGAGAACAATGGGAGTTCCAAAGCACTTCATTGTGCTTTGCATAACTTGTACATGAATCAAGAGATGGTTGTGCCAATAGAACACAGGAATACTGCATGGTTTAAAATCAGGAAAGGTGTGTGTCAGATTTGTATTCTCTCACCATACTTCTTCAATCTGTATACTGATACCTTCGGCTTCTATGTCCTCTGATACATAGATAATGTAGTACCGTAAAGTTCCTCTCACTATATTTGTCATTCTCACATGCCCAACTTCAGTGTGAAAATGAAATTCACAGAACACCAATAGCTCTCCCAAAAGGCATCATCAGATTGCTTTTTCTCTCTGTTTTATATCCAAAGATGGTGTACTTATATTTACACCTAATGTGAATAAACACCAAAGCCTGGTCTTCTCAGGTTCTTTGTTTATTCTTGGGAGCGCTGATGGTGCAATCAGTTAAACGTTGGAGTGCTAACAGAAAGATTATCGGTTCAAACCCACCAGTTGATCCACAGCAGAAAGATGAAGCTATCTGCTCCCATAATGATTTATAGCTTTAGAAACTTTTTATAGCCTGCACTGTTATGTCTTCCCTTGATATTTTAGCTAAAATATCTCCTTTATCTATATTATGTTTCAGATAGGTAATTACTGTTGAAAATCATATCACCTATATTATTATAATTTATCTATTGCATAATTTGCTTGAAATGGACCCACATTTATGTTTGACACTTTTTTGTGTTCCTAACAGTATCATCCTCATTGATAAAAATCTTAGAAAGTGATCACTAAAGTATTTGGACCTGACATGTAGAAAGTAGAAACTCACTCATTCTTATTTATAGTTTCAGGTGCAACATTATATCTCTCAGAATCTGGTAACACTGGGAAGTTGCAGCTTGCTGAGAAAATCTATTGTATCTCTACTTCTATCAGAAGTAAACAACTTTGCCGATGACCTGGAAGCCACCAGTCAGGTACTTAAGACTTGAAATTGTAGCTATCATGTACAGTTAATATAACCATAGGATCTTTTTTCCCCTTTTCTTTTTCCTTCTTCACACTTTCTTGCTTTGCTGATCTCTTTATTCATACTTTAGCAGAAATACTGGTGGTTGAATGGTTATGTGACCATCTGCTAACCGAAACATAAGTGGTTCTAACCCACCAGCCACCCGGCCGACAAAAGCTGTGGCAATCTGCTCCCGTAAGCGTTACAACCTTAGAAATCTTATGAGGCAGTACTACTATGTCCTACAGTGTTACTATGAATCAAAATCAATTTACTGACAGATTTGGTTTGTAATACATACACTTACTGTTCTGCCCAGTGATATGACAAATAAGTACTTTCAGGAAATAATTTGCAAAATAAGCCATCTTAATGCTATTACTTGTATGCATATACCAAAAATGACACTGGTGACAGAAGAGAAATGCTTAGATAAATGGTGCAGTGTGTCCTTAAAGCAAAGCAGTCAGAGAAAAGTAAGCTGAAGAAGATGCTAAATGGAAAGTAGTTTGTAGTCTGTTGGTTCTCATCCTTTGATGCTCATGAGAATCATTTGGCTGACTGGAAGGTTCACATTGTCAGGCAATATGCCAACCTTATTATATATGGTCTCTTGGGTTAGAACCATAGGGTTTGGCATTTTTAAAGCTTGCCAGGTGATTGTACTATAGTCAGAGTTGAAAACTAGTACTTTAAGTCTGTTTACGTGAGCTTAAACTTTATATATCATTGCTGAAAAATATGTCTAGGTAACTTATCCACATCTTTAAATGTTGACACTGGTTTATTATATGTGTGCATTTTGTCAAGTTTTTATATTCTATGATATTATTAAAAGCCCAGTTAAATGGACGAGATACCGTTAATGTTTTGGAAAAGAGAAAAATTATGTATATGCATATAATTTGTATTTATTAAATATACAACAAACATTGCATACACAACAAATGTATTATACATA